CGCACACACACATGGCCAAACTTACGGTTCCAACTCACAAATTGGTGGCTGGCTCAAGGCAAGAAGCTGAGCAGATGTCGTGGAATTTAAGAGGACAGTGCTCATAGGGAGAGACGTGTCATGATTCCGGCCTGGTTCCTTCGCGAAGCGCCCGACTCTGGGGTCGGGATTCGCTACAGTGTGGTCCTTGGGTCAATGTCCGGCAATGAATGGATGGCAGGCTTGCGCAAGCGTGTCAGCAGAGAAAAAAACCATCAGCCCAATCAAACATCTCATCTCTTGCCCAGATTCCAGAAAAGGCGCTAGCCAGTACTGCAACGGAGGAAACAGCTCTCAGACTGGCAGGCAGCAGAATCTTGTGGCGGTAACTTCGGAGTGACACGTGTATATGGCCATGAAAATGCCAAAGCCACTCTTGCAATGGAGTCGATCTAATACAGGAATGCAGTTGGATTCTTGTAAGATGCCCGAGGACACGATCACTGCGAGCCAGCCGTCAGCCCTGCCAGAATCTGGCAGACCTGACCGCTGGCTCGCTACGTTTGTGGTGCTGGCCGTGGCAGCCATGGTGTTTGGCCGCCAGGTCGGCTGCTGGAGGGCTCTGATGCGAAACACACGCAACTGGCACAAGCGGGCAGTCGGCTGGAGGTTTTCAGTTGCAGGTCGACCAGGCACCTGGCACGTCTGAGCAAGAGACAGAGACCCACCGAGCATGTGTCAACCTGATCACTGGCGTGATCAGGTTGACACATGCTCGGTGGCCTATAGAGCCTTCTCGTTGAGCTGCTTGGGAACCGTGGGCCATGCTGGCGTGCTGGCCTGTGATTAGCCATGACATGACAGTATCCAACTGCTGGTGTTGGTGAGAGCAGATCCAGCAATTACCAGTTTCTCATTGCTGGACCTGGCGTTGGTTTTCGGCGTTGGTTTTCTCTTGCAGGTCCAGCCGACGTACCTGATGCAAGACACACAACTGGCACAAGCGGGCAGCTCGAGCAGGCTCTCCTGTCAGGGCAGCCTGCTCGAGCTGCGTGCGCCAGACCTGCTCCGACGGCTCTGATGCAAGACACGCAACTGGCACAAGCGGGCGGCTGGCTGACGGTTTTCTGCTGCGAAGGATGCACGAGGCAGAGCACCTGGACGGCGCAATGTGCATCCCGACGGCAAGAGCTAGTATGCGTCGGCGCCCGACGTCGATGCTGCTTGGATGGGCATGAGCTTCAGTCAGTCTTCTGCCAGATAACAGCGTCGTCCGGCAAAAGCCCAGGACCTGCGACAGCACTTCCATTCTCGGACCGCTGCCGTCTTCCCAGTGCTGCTGGGCCGGCACAGATTTGGAGGAGTCCGCCGTCCGCCCTGCCGCCGCTGCGTCGACATTATTAGGGCGACCCTGCGTGGTGCATATCATGCAACGGCGGTCTCGGCAGTGTCTGCAAGAGTTAGTCAGAACATAGATTTCAGCAGCGCATAGAAAAGTGCACATCATTCAATCAGCTGCCTCTTCTTCGAGGTCAGGTTGACATGCGGTCAGATGCTGATGCGATACATGAAATTACTTAATTTGGCCTTGCACTTCCCCGAGATGTGCTCCCTTGGACAGGCGGGCAGCCAGACGTGGTCTACGGGTCCGATCCTTGGCCGTGTTTCTGTCAGACAGCCCAGACTTGGAAATGAGTTCTAGAGGTTGCTGAAATCGGGTTCCTGCTTGCAGCTGCTGTTTCCCAAGCTCAGCCAGCACTCTGCCTGCCGGACCCCTTCCTTGGTGCCATCCATGACCTGCCAAGTGCGGGTTGCGATGTACAGCTGGGAGCACTGCAAGAGAAACGAGGTCCTTTACTTGTTCAGCAACTATGAGGTGGGGTTTCGCCGCAAGACCCGCAGCTTGCATGCCCTATCGTGGCGTCTTAGTCGAGTCTCAGAGCGTGGTCCAGTCGTTGGTTGCTAGCTTTAGTAGTTAATGATCATCGGTACCATGGTCTCAGTCTCCACCTTAGCTGAAGCGCAATGCTAACTAAGTAACACCATGCACATTAAGGCAATGGGAACACGGCGTATGGTCGACAAGGCACTTGGTCCACGACTAGGACTGGCAGCGTCATCTACTTGCAAGACTTTGCTTGCTGCTCCTCTGTGCAAAAGCGACACAGTGTAGCCTTGGTGCAAGATGACACTGGATGCCACTCATGATCAGTCATGCAATTGTTCATTAATTTTTCCTGTGCCACCCAAATAATTAATGCAACATATCTACCATTTCTGCAGTCACGACTCGTTTGCGAAATCAAGGCTTCAGGGACCACCACGGCCGCGTCGTAAGATACCTGGGCGTCATGGAGCTTTGGTCGGATTCCAACGGCTGGGTGTTGCAAGACGTGCAAGACGCCGACGCGGAGGACACAGCAGTTTCGGAGCAACAGGTGCAAGACAATGACAGCGTGAGACAAAGCCCATATGGTTTGCATACTGAGACTGGGATCGGCTTCGTCGCTTCACTCGAGCAAGAGGTGCAAGATGAGGAAGTCCTACATCAGACCCCAGATTGCTCGCAGGCTGAGATGGCCTTCAAGGCGTCGCAAGACCAGACGCAGTCTGGCCCTTTCAAACACTCAGAGACGCGGCCAGCCAATAAAGTTCAAAACGCTCCTACACCGGAGCAAGAGGACCCAGAGGATCTAGAGGATCTAGAATGGACCCTCTTGAGTCTAGACTGATCTTCCGACCTGAGGAGCCAGAATTGAGCCACGGCAATCGAACGCCATGGCTTCGGAGTAAGTAGGAAACAGTAGCAGTTTCACCTTTTTACGCCTGGTCGGCCAGAAGATGTGGTGTTGAAGAAGCCCGGGCCGGTCGTAATTTCAGAAGTAGAATTTCGAGTCAAAGGCATTCTTGCAATTCATTCAAGGTACCAAAGCGCCAGCAAGTATGACATCCTCAGAATTAAGTAAGAACAACCAGCAAAAACAACGCGGACATAGTCTAGCTTACGAGAGGAGAGAGAGGGCGAGAGATGCAATTCTTCGTGTGTCCAGCAATTCGCCCCAAGTGTGAAACGAGCATCGATTGTACATAAGATAGTACAGATACATCACAGCAACATCAACCGTGGTTTCTATGAATGTTCGTTGAAGACGTGCAACTTGGACAGAATAATAATAATTGCATTTCTGTGTAAACAACAACAAGCAACAGAGTGCATCCATCGACCGACCTGGCTTTCGAATTGTGCCGTTTGTCCGACAAGCTTAGCAGTCACGAGATAGAGACAAAAGGCTTGCTCGTGAATGACCATAAATCCTGAAGCTTCAGTATATATTGACTGAGCTCTTCGCACTCACACCCGAGCCCCGGCGGACGTTCGCGGACGTTCGCGGACGTTCGCGGAACTTCGCCACGAACCCTGCCAGACGTTCGCGGACCTTCGCCACGAACCCTCCAGACGTTCGCGGAACTTCGCCACGAACCCGCCAGACGTTCGCCACGAACCCCGCCAGACGTTCGCAAGACGTTCGCCACGAACCTGGCTCCGGACATTCAGGAACCTTGGCCGAAACCTCCGGTAGAGGGCGCCAGCTCTTCCAGGCCCTTCGCCAACCGCTGGCCCACGAACCCCGCCAACGTTCGCAAAGCGTTCGCTGTTCTGGTTTTGCGCCCGTCCCGTTCGGCACAGTGCCCACCCTTCGCGGCCGTTCGCGGGGCTCCTTCGCGGCCGTTCGCGGGGCTCCTTCGCGGCCGTTCGCGGGGCTCCTTCGCGCCGTTCACCCCTTCGCAGCAACCCTTCCTCTAAGCCTTCCGGGCGGTCCTCCCAGAAAGAAAGCCCACATACTTAATCAAAGGTCAAAGGCTTGCCGATTCGGTTTGGTTTTCCTCAGCAAAAGCTTCATCCGGGAAGCCAGTCAATAGATTCGCAAACAGTCGGTCAGAGCTTTCATGTTTCGCCATGAGGGTGTTAGTCCTGTCCACATCCTGCACCGGGCCAAGGCCAGAGGCTGCAAAAGCATGGCGCTCAGCAGCAAGACAGTCAGTGTTCCGAATTTCTGTCGTATTCAACTATCAGTGCTGAATTTCAGGACAATGACAGTTAACAGTTGCCTGGCTGCCAAGATCGCATTCTCTGCCCGTAACTTCACGCAGTCTACGAGAGATAGCATATGAATGTCAGACTTGGATGCGTTCGTCACCGGAGGCAAGGACCTACCTTCACTTCCCGGCTTGGTGCAGGCACCGCGTCTGTCGATGAGGGTAAAGACTGCACGACCGTGCTGTGGCCCGAAGGTTCCTAGTCGCAGTGCTGCTAGTCCTGCAAGAACTAACCAACAGAATGGACACGACTGCCGGACTATGCTTTGCGGTATTAAATTAAAACAGATTGTTTATTGTTTTCAGGGACCAAGATTGCGCCTCACTCCCCGTCCGTTTGTCTCCCTCTCTCTCTCTCTCTCTCTCTCTCGCTCTCGCTCTCGCTCTCGCTCTCGCTCTCGCTCTCGCTCTCTCTCTCTCTCTTTTTTTTTTTTTCTCTCTCCCTCTCTCTCTCTCTCTCTCTCTCTCTCTCTCTCTCTCTCTCTCTCTCTCTCTCTCTCTCTCTCTCTCTCTCTCTCTTTTTTTTTTTTTCTCTCTCTCTCTCTCTCTCTCTCTCTCTCTCTCTCTCTCTCTCTCTCTCTCTCTCTCTCGCTCTCTCTCGCTCTCTCTCGTCGCTCTCTCTCTCGCTCTCTCTGGCTCCTCTCGCTCTCTCTCGCTCTCTCTCTCGAGCTCTCTCACTCTATGTCTTTATCTTTCTGTTGTTCTCTGTAGCACAAACCCTGGTACAGCACTACGTCGCCAGGCAAATGCCGAGAATACGGCCAGACCTTCGGCGCCTTCCCAGGTGCCTCGCTGCAAGTGTTCAATGCTTTTGCCTGGAGCGCTTGCCCTTCTCGCAGCAACGAACAATACACACTTGCATTTGCAGACGCAGCCTTTGCAAAGGTCCGGTAGGGCAAGAGTCCAGCTGTAGATCGAGCAAAATGCAGAGCCCTTTCGACCTCAGCATCTTCATGAGTTCGGCTATCACCAACGGCTTCCTTGAGGTCATGGGCGTGGTAAGATGCAACCGGCATTACATAGCGGCAAGATCTGAGTTGTTGGAGCAAAGCAAGAACTCAAACAAAGGCCTTGACAGATCCATTCGCATCTGGGCCGAGCTCGAGCAGATGACGAAAGACATCGACAGTCTGGGCAAGATAGTCGGCTTCGTCGACCGAGGCAAGATCAACCGCGCGTTCAAGGATACCAAAGTGCTGGCAAGGGACGCAGTGGTTTGGCACCTCGTCGGTTGCTTCAGGACGTGGCGGGATAACAGGTTGATTCTGGAGCGGTCGTTTCTGGAGATCGGCAAGAATAACAACCTTCAGCCGCAGATGATTCAATCCTTGTACAAAGTCCAGTCAGAGATACTTCTCAGCATGATGTCGAGCTACTGGGTGTGGGAAGTGTTCGCAAGAAATGTTTGCGGAAACTGCGAAGATAGCAAGAACTTTGCCATACTCCAACGCCTGACGACAGACTTCCTCCTATATGTCCCGCCAGATGCTCCGCAAGACGCCTGTTATGGAGCCTTGATGCTGGTGCCCGACATGGTTGAAGCTGCGCTTCGCGCAAGAGCCAGCAAGACACTTTCGAGAAGTAT